TAATTACATATAGTTATTTTATCTTTGAAATATAATTTATAATACTCATTTATTATAATTGTATTCCCCTGTGAAATTTCATTGCAAAAGGTATACTAATCTTTGATGACTGGAGGTAGCAGAGATGAAGTATATAATACCATGCTTTCTTACAGAGGTACAAATTTGGAAATTCCAATTATTTTCTATAATTCATCTGGTATATGTCATTATTTGCCACCATATCTGTGCCATAAAAGTGGTTATCTGCAAAGTCTGCGTAAATAAATTTCTTTGACATACAAGTATGGTATATGCTTTGCCTTCTTTGTCACTTTTTAGAAAGATAGTAGAAGCTGAAAGGAGCACAGCAAACAGATTTAAGGCACTTAAGAGTAGGCAAAAAAAAAAAAGGCAAGTATAATCTCACAATCAAAATGATTTTTAAAGAGATAATATACTGTGAAGACTATGTTAAGATATTTGTTAAAACACTGATGAGAGAAGAAGGGAAAACTAAAATTGTTTTATGATATTTTATCTATATGTATTATTATTTGGGTGAAACATTAAGAATTTATAACCCACTTACTTTGTACCAAGCACTGTTCTAAGTGTTTTGCATTTATTAACTCATATAATCTTATTTACAACTCTAGGAGATAAGTACATTATCTTATTATAAAGCTCAAAATACTGATCATCTCTTTTGATCTTCCAATGTAGATCAGGTTGAAATATATAAACAATATAACAGTCTTCTGTCATCTTTTCAACTCTATGACTACAGATAATTTATGATGTAAAACAAATATCAATATATTAAATAAATTTTTGGGACTTGATCAGTTCTTTACTTAAAATATAACTATGAATATTAGAACTTCAAATTTCTATGTCATTATAATCATTAATCATTTTGTGAGGTAAGCTTTTTCTGGAAATTAGATCAGATTCTTTAGCATTTTAAAAATACTTACCAGCCTCTTAGTTCTCATGCTCTGAGATAAAATATATGGGAATTTGAAGTTCATAAAGAGATTTTATAAAATTGTAGTAATAATACTTTAATTCTAATTTGTCCTCTGTGGCTATGGGCATCAGGAAATGGCTGTCACATATTTGCTTCCCTCTCCTATTACCATCCCCAACTTAAAAGAAAAAGTTATCTAATAATATCATTATTAAACAAAATATGTTTTAATTGGTTTCAAATTCTTGAGTAGGAAGATATGCTAATTCTGCCTTAGCGTTTGATAATAAACAAAAAGTATTTATTGATTGCTCTTATAAAGACCAGCATTTTGTTAGGTGCTTGTGGATAGTTTATACGTGAAATTGCCTTACGTCTTTGTAAAATCTTCTAATATGTCAAGAAAAACAAAGAATGTGGACGGTGTAAGGAATGTGGACAGAATGATAAGATGGTATATAACAAAAGTCATCTCAGTATTCAACCTTAACATGGACACCTCTGCCCTATTCTTCTACGCATCTGATATTAAATATCTCTGCTTAAGATCTTGTTTTCAAGTTAGCTATTTAATAGGTTCGTGTTATATTAAAATATTTTAATTAGGCAACATAATGATTAATTTTACTCTATACATTTAGTTTCTGAAGCAAATACCAACTTAATATTTAGTGTATACCTGCTCAGCCCTTTTTGCTAATTCACGTTGTATCTTCCTCTTTTCTAACATATCCTGCTCAATTCTGCGTTTTCGTTCCTCCTCTGTTCTCTTCCTTTGTTCCTCTTGTCTTTGTTTCTCCATTTCAGCAAATTTACCTTTAACAGTTCCTAAGAATATATGAAATATGCTTGATATTTTGCTGTTTGCGTTTTTGCAATTTCATTTACAATTTACCCTTCAAGTTTCTTACCTGTTAGCTTTGGAACATAAGCCTTTTCTACTTTAGAAGATACCTCTTCCTCATCATCAGAAGCAAGCATTTCTTTAATCTAGACAGTTAAATAAATTAATATGAACATGTCACAAATTTAGACTAAATCATATTATATGCATAATTTGAAATTAGCATATAAATACAGCAAATGATTTCAATTAGTTAATATGAAATGTGGTTAATGTGAACAATAAATGAATGTAAATTAAAAAGATGAAAATGAATATTTGCACAAGAATAAAATAAAATAAAATAAAATAAAATAACCTCCTGCTTTCTCCTGTTCCATTCTCTCTCTCTAATATATTGTTCTTTTCTTCTTTGCTTTTCGTCTCTAGATCTCCTTTGATTTCTTTCTTCCCTCGCTCTCTGCATGGCTTCAAACTTATCCTTTATATCACCTTTGCCAAGTTTTGGCACATAGGTTTTTGGGACAGGTTTAGATGAAGAAAGCAGAATCTTCATTAGAAGAAAATAAAGAGAGGAAAGTTAAAAAAATAAAAGAAGAAATTAGGTAAAGGTAGATTAGAATAAGCAATTTAAGAACTAGTTATTGAAACAGAAAATAGAAATGAGTTTGAAACTTTGATCATTAAATCTGATTACATACTTTCTAAAATCTAAGTATAAAAAAAGGAAATTACAGAAAATACGAGAGTAAAAATTTTATTAAGATATAGTAAAGAAGTCTCATTTTGTAAGTACTTTTCACGGAAGGTGTTCTAAGTTAAAACAATCTGTATTTTATCATTCTACTCCATCACTTGCTTACAAGGTACCAAGACTAATTCCAATAAATTAGATGAAGATGAAAATAAGGCAAAAGTTTAGATTTTAAAGTTTGAAACCTAATTCGCATGTTAACATTCTTGCTTGTTTCCATATCTAATATGAGCAAAACCGAAGGACAGTCTTTATTTCTCATTTGTGACTGAGGCACGCCAGGATCTTTGTTCACGAGCAGTGATTTATATTGTTTCTACTGCATTACCCATACAGAATTTCTTTAAACTAACGTTAAAAATGTGTTAAGAAGGCTGTATTATTCCAAGGAGGATGAGTTCTAAGAGAGAAAGTCTCAAATGGCAAAAGAGCTTCCTAAAGTAAGAGGAATCTGATAAAAGACTAGAGAAAAGATTTTCCTCCACGCTAAAACCAGGAAAGGAAATTATTTTTGTTTTTGAAAATCAAGCTGATCTCTAAAAGAAGTTTTAGTAAATAAAACTTCAGTGCCTCAGAACACCAAACCTTTTCTCCTAGTGATGACAAAGTGCTTAATTAATCTGTAGCATACCCAGTCTCTATTTTATTATCTACTTATAGTGTCACTGACCATTTAAGGTTTTTTTTAAAGTTTATAATTTTGGGATATGAATGAAGTTGGGGGTGAGCTTTTCTGCTACAACTCTCAGCAACTGCAGCCAAGAACCAGAAAATGGCTAAGAGAAGTTCTTTTGCAGCTGCTGGAGGAAGTGCTAAAAAGGATCCTCACCTGAGAGTGAATTATCGCTTTCTCCTAAGACTATACATCATCTGTTTTTTAATATTGAAAAAAAAAAAACAACTTCTAAGACATATCAGGATATTAAAATTCTATTCAAGATGCTAGCCAAAACATCCACTTCACTATCATTCACAAATTAAATAGTTGTGCTTCGTAGATTAGAATCCTTCGTAGATTAAAACAATAGGCCCCAGACCAGCCTGTGAATTGTACCTCTTTTTATGTTTTACATCTTGATGCTGTTTTTATGAATTGCTGAATATGACTTTTCCAGCAAACAATTGCCATTTCAGCAGTTCTACAGTCAAGCTTATGTCTCCCCCATTTTGTTTTTAACTTCTGAGACTTACCTCAGCCTTTTGGGAAATATCGTTCATGTTCGCCCTATGTGGTCTTAGGGTGATTGTCAAGTTTTGTGTAATTTTGCACCTGAAAAAAATATATTAGTATTAAATTAAAATTTTAATGACTTAACTTTTAAAATATGTTATGCATTTTTGTAAACAGAAAGAGCATGTTAATTGCTCCTTATGAAGTATTGACATGATCCAGGCAAGTAATAAATCTTGATACCCTCAGCTCCTTTTCCCAAGATTTAGGGTATAGAAGGTACAGGGTGCATAGTATTAAAAGATCCTTGCAAATTTATGGCCCAATAGCTTGGTGAAAGTATCGAGTGCACTTGCAAAGGATTTGTATTCTGCAGTTATTGGGTGTAGTATTCAACCAGTCAAGGTGGTTGATTGTGTTTAGATTTCTGTCTTTACCATTTATTTATTTTCTGCCTAGTTCTATCCATCTTCGACTATGTGGAATTGACTATTTCTTCTTTTAATTTTGTCATTTGTGTTTCATGTAATTTCAAACTCGTTTATGTGCATATACACTGATTATAATATCTCCTCTTTGAATCGACCCTTCTGTCAGTATGAAATTTCCCTCTTCTTACCACATTGTCTTGAACTTTTCTGATATTAAAATAGCCACGCCAACTTTCTTAAATTTAGTTTGCATGATATATACTTTTCTAGCCATTTGATTTCAAACTATCTATGCCTTTACATGTGAAGTACATATCTTGGACACTTGCTTTTTTAAAAAAAAAATTGGACCTTGCTTTTTTAAAAAAAAAAAAATCAGTTCTGGTAATATTAGTCGTTTAATTGCAGTGTTTAGTCCATTAACATTTAATATATTTATATGACTGTATATGTCTACCATTTTGATACATTCCTTATTTGCCCCCTCTTTTTTTATTCTTCTATTACCCTTTTCTTGCATACTTCTGGATTAATGAAATAAATTTGAGTTTTATCTCTGGCTTTAATTTTTTTTTTTAAACAGCTTTACTAAGGTATAGTTGACATACAATAAATTACACTTTTTTAAAGTGAAAAATTTGCTAAGTTCCGACATCATCACCACAATCAATATAATGAATATAAACATTACTTCCAAAAGTTTTCTCAGGTCCCTTAACTCACTCCTCTTCTTCTCTCTCCTAACCCCATCCCCAGGAAGATATGCTGTCACTGCAGATTAAATTTTCTATAAATGGTCTATAGCCATGCCACCCTGAACAAGCCTGATCTCGTCTGATCTTGGAAGCTAAGCAGGGTTGGGCCTGGTTAGTACTTGGATGGGAGACCACCTAGGAAGACCAGGTGCTATAGGTGTAAAAAATAAAAAATAAGGGACTATAAGCTGATAAGGTCCTTGCAATCTGTAAAAAAAATAAAAAATAAAAATGTTCTATAAATGGAATCATATAGTATGCACTTTATTGTCTGGCTTCTTTTACCCAGCATAATTATTTTGATATTCATCCATGTTGCTGATATGTAAATAGTTAATTCTTTTTTATTTCTGAATATTATTCCACTGTATAAATATATCACAATTTATTAACCATTCGTCTGTTGATGGGCATTAGGGTTGTTTCCAGATACTACTACAAATAAAGCTGCTATGAGTATTCATGGATAAGTCTTTCTGTGGACATATGCTTTTTTATTTCTCATAGGTAAACAAAGTGTAATGGCTAGGTCATTTAAGAAAATGCCAAGTTGTTTTCTAAGTGGTTGTACCATTTATCTTCCCACCAATAGTGTATGAGGGTAACACTTTCTCTACATCCTCACCAACACTTGGTACAGTCTTCTTAATTTGAGACATTGTAAAGGTATGTAGTGACATCACATTACAGTTTTAATTTATATTTCTCTTTATAACTAATGGTAATGCAACATCTTTTCGTATGTTTCTTTTCTATCTGTAAAAGATCTTTGGTGAAGTATCTATTCAAATCTTTTGTCCATTTTATCACTGGATTGTTTATTTTTCCATTTTCAGGTTTGAGAATATTTTATATATTCTGAATACAAGACCTATGTCAGATATATAACTTGCAAAGATTTTTCTCTCAGTTTTTGGTTTGTCTTGTCATTTTCTTAACAGTCTCCTATGCTCTTTTTGAAGAGCATAAGTTCTTCATTTTGATAAAGTCCATTTTATCAATATTTACTTTTATGATTTGTGCTTTTGGTTTTGTACTGACCTACTCTACAATCAAAGAGAATTTATCCTACGTTTTCTTCTAGAAGTTGTATAGTTTTTGGTTTTTGCATTTAGGCCTTTGATTCATTTTAAGTTAATTTTTGTATACGGTGCAAGGTTTTTTTTCATATGGATAACGATTTTTCCAGGATTTTTTGCTGATAAAAACATATCCTTTCTCCACTCAAATGATTTTGCACTTTTGTCAAAATCAACTGACCATACATGCGTAGGTCTATTTCTGGACCCTCCATTCTGTTCCATCAATCTGTCTCCCTTGATACCAGTGTTTTTCTTTCTTTCTTTTTTTTAATAATGATCATGAAGCCCTGATTTGTGTACTTCATATTGAGCCTTGAAAAAGGTAGTGTAATCCTTTATTCTTTTTCGAAGTTGTTTTTGGCTATTTAGGTCCTTTGCATTCACATATAAATTTTAGAATCAGATTGTTGATTTCTGTAAAAATGCCTGCTGAGATTTTGATTGGGATTGCACTGAATCTGTAGATGGATTCCACAGATTCCATTGGGGAGAAATGGCATCTTAATAATGTTACATCTTCTGATCCATGAATGCAGTATATCTCTCCATTTATTTACATTTTCTACAATTTTTTTCTCAGAAATGTTTTGTAGTTTTCAGTATGCAGGTCTTCCATATCTTCTGTGAGATTTATCCCTAAATAATTTCATATTTGTTGATGCTACTGTTTTTAGATTTCAATGGATAATTGTTTGTTGCTAGTATATAGAAATATAATTTATTTTTGTTTTTTGATCTTATATCCTGCTACCCTGCTAAAGTAACTTATTAGTTCTATTGTTTATTTTTTTAGATTCCATCAGTTTTTCTATAGATGATTATATCATCCATGAACACAGTTTAACTTTTTTCTTTCCAATCTGAATGTCTTTTATCTCTCTTTCTGGCCTGACTGTATTAGCTAGAATTTCCAGTTCAATGTTAAATAGAAGTACTGAGCGCAGTACTTTGCTTTGTTTCTGATCTTATGGGGAAAATGTTCAGTCTTTCACCATTAAGTATGATTTTAGCTATCGATTTTTCTTAGATGCCCTCCATCAAATTAAGTTCTTTTCTATTCCTATCGTGCTGCAGTAATTTCAGGAATGGATGTTGGACTTAATCATGTTTTTTCTGTTTATTAAGATAATCATATGGCTTTTATTTTTATTATGGTGAATTACATTAATTTATTTTCAAATGTTAAATCAACTTTACATTTCTAGAATAATATTCATCTGGTCATGATGAAGTTTACATAGTGATAGAGTCAATTTGATAAAATTATGTTAAGTTTTGCATCCATGTTTACGAGGGATATTGTCTGTAGTTTTATTTTTTTGTAATATCTGCTTTTGTTAACAGAATAACACTCCTCTCACAGAATGAGTTGGGAAGT